TGGAGAATAAGTACAGTGACTATTTGCAGATTTATAAAGATCCCAAAACTGAAACAGCTAGTGTGGCAGTTGTCATTCCTGAATAAAATATATAAACTTCAAGAAGAACATAATTTTTTTTAGTATGAATGCGGAGTAGAGTTATATGCCATATTATTTGCCTTGTTTCTTATTTTTCTTGTATTTTAGCACACCACTGTTGCTTGTGAAGCTTGCACACAAGAATCTCGGTCACATGTGCTGTACCAATGTACCAGTAATGTGACGTGACAATAAAAGTGATTTGATTTCATTAAAAAGGTGCTCACAAGGAGATGGCTCAAGCCTGAGCCACCAACAACTGAAGACTGGATATCTTCTGTACAAGAGATCTATACAATGGAAAAACTGTCCTTCTCAGAACAGTTGCAGAGGGATACTTACTGCAGAATATGGTCTAAGTGGACAGAGTGAGGTGTGATTTTCTATGAACTTTGGCGCTTTTTATGCTGTTGCACTGATTTAAATACTCACACTGATATGGTGATGGTAACTCAGTTTTAAAAAATACCTGTGGATGTAACCCTAGGCATTTTCTTAATAGCAGTTAACCAGGTGTAATAACTCCACGGCAGAACGGTCCACATTTTAAATGCTTTTCAGCATACTCTTAATTTACCACTTTCAAACACACTTTTATTCCGGTTGCTGTACACTCACAGGTGGCTGCAGGTCTGCAGCTGCCAGCCACACACACTAACAACAAATGGTAAATGGTAAATGGCCTGTATTTATATAGCGCTTTACTAGTCCCTAAGGACCCCAAAGCGCTTTACACATCCAGTCATCCACCCATTCACACACTGGTGATGCCAGCTACATTGTAGCCACAGCCACCCTGGGGCGCACTGACAGAGGCGAGGCTGCCGGACACTGGCGCCACCGGGCCCTCTGACCACCACCAGCAGGCAACGGGTGAAGTGTCTTGCCCATGGACACAACGACCGAGACTGTCCAAGCCGGGGCTCGAACCAGCAACCTTCCGATTACAAGGCGAACTCCCAACTCTTGAGCAACAATCGCGCCTTACAACAACGACAGTCAGGAACAACTTTTAATGCAGGCGAGGCGTGATTGCCAATGTTGTGCAGGTGTGTCCATCGTCCCTGCAGCGGCACCGCAGCCCCGCCGCACCAGCATTTCCTGATTTAAGTCTGGGTGTGTTCACATTGGAAGAATCTAACCAAACACAGTGTACTGTAATAGTGTACTGGCAGCTGTGCAGCTAATTGTTTTTGTTTTTACAAGTGGCACACTATCTTTTGCTTGTCTGTACAAAGAATGTATTATCATATATAATAAAATATAAAGAGCTTCCACACATAATAGAGAATGAAATTAACACAACTGCTACAGATAACTCAGCATTGTGAGAGAAAAGGCACTCTATAGTTTAGTGTTAAAAGTGCTGTAAAAATGTGTGTAAACTCGTTGGTTAGTAAGACTGGAAAAGAGCTGCCATATTAATCAGGTTTAGACTATTTGAAGGAAGAAGAAAAATTGTGAGACTGTTTGCAGTATAAAGGTTAAAAAATAGAAATAAATGGATGGATGTTTTCCAGAAACTTGTCTAACTTAACTAACAGCTAAGTCTATTAGCAGCAACCAACCCGGTGACGTCCTATTCTGTATTGGCACAAGATGGTAGTAGACATGTTCTAAAAATGACAAATTATACTTGCACTATTCCAACATGTTATTAATGACATGACATAACACATTATTCATTAATTTAATAATTAATTAGACTAAATTAATTGAAAGATTTTCTTTCATTAAAAAAACTGTTATAATTAAAATTATGACTATTTCTTGCATTACTTTTGAGTATAAAAGTATAAAAATGGCTTTTAATCCTAAACAGTTAGTACTTTTGTTAAAACCGATAAATTAAAGTTGAAAGTCTACGTGTCTTGTTTGATTTACACTCTATTGTGGCACTTATTATTACATTTAACCTACAACGACAAAACCAACACAAAATAGTCTGTTTAAATTAAGTTTGTGTGACTCACGTTTGTCTCTACTTTGTGATTGATTAGCTTTACTACAAACCACTATACCTATTTAATTTTAACAACTCAAATGTTCTGACAAACACACATTTGTTTCATTTTCTGATATGAAAGTTTTATTTTCAAATTAAGAAGCAAATTATGTAAGCAATTTAGAGTGTCCAATCAAAGTGCATGTCTTTGCACTGTGAGAGGCCCCACAGAGCTGCCATGCTGCTGTTACAATCCTCCCTACAAAAAGAGTCATTCAAAATCACTATATGGTGGACAGAGTCAGATTTTAAAACCCGTCCTGTGGTCTGATTGTCTAATCAATACTACAAGGCAAAGACCCTGCAGTTTGGGGAAAAAAAAACCCCCTGACAATCAGACCACCCCCTCTGAGCAAGCACTTGGCACTTGGGAAGGAAAAACTCCCTTTTAACAGGGAGAAACCTCCGGCAGAACCAGGCTCAGTGAGGGGAGGTCTCCTCACACAACCTGTGTTAAATGACAAATAGTTGAAAGTGTAGCAAATTTTTTGAAAGGAGGTTTGTAAATTATGGAACATTGTGAAGCTACCCCAAAAGGTGGAGTCTGTTCATCTGGACATAGCGTTTTCAGTGGGAGGCGTTTTCAGTGGGAGAAAACGCCTCCCACTGAAAACGTTACATCCAGATGAACAGACTCCACATTTCGGGACTGACTTACCTGGATGATTGTGCATGCATTAAGTAATTGTGAAGATAATTATTCTGTTTCTGATTCACTGCTTATGCAGCAAAATAACCTCCTCAAACTACTAAAAAAAAGAAGAGAAGGCCCTAATGATACGGTTACTTGGCCTGTCTTCCTTCAAAACACGTACGAACTCCAAAACAAAAGACAACAGAAGTGCTCCAGAATGCTAGGTGCAGTGTTGAGCTTTTGTTACCTAGAGTCTACACAAGCCAGGAAATACCAACGACCGGATTTGGTGTGTGGTAGTAACAGGTAAATGAACTTTAAAAAAAAAAATTAATTATAATTTTATATTAATGTTAATAATAAATCAATTAAAGTAACAAAACAACCTGAAGAGCTGGTTCGGAGCCAAAAGAGCCGGCTCTTTTTAGTGAGCCGAGCCGAACCGAACGAGCCGGTTCTCTAAAAAGAGCCAGAAATCCCATCACTACAGTCACGACTGACAACTGCTGGGCAGGGATCTTTTAAAAACAGCCACCTGATGAGGGGACCAATCAGCTGCCGCCAGCTCTCTAATCAGGGAGGACCTGTACATTATTTGGTGTTCTGGCCTCTAGTTTAAATCACTGTCTTCTCCGTTTTATGTGTTATGTTCTTTATGTCTGTCTCTCAGTGTGAAGTTTGCGTTTTTGTGATTTGTTTCTTATTTCCTGTTTTATATTGATAGTCCCAGTCCTATGTCAGTGTATCCAATTTTACCTCCCCCTGTCTCGTTAGCCCTAATCTCTCCCAGCTGTCTCCCTCCTGTTTCCTGTTCCCTGATTACTCCCTGTGTATATAAGCCCTGTGTTTGCCTTTGCTCTCTGTCGTGTTGTACCCTCAATGTGCTGTGTGTTTTGTTTCAGTCGCCTGTTTAGGGTTTCCTCTTCTAGTGTTTCAGTTCTTAGTTCCTCTGTTCAGAGTTTTGTTTTTTGGTGAGTTTAATTTACTAAGAGGTTTTTCCCAGCAATAAAGCTGCGCTTTGAGTTTTACCTCTGTGTTTGAGTCCTGCTCTTGGGTCCACCTTTCCTGTCTGCCTGCCACACAGCCCTTCATGACAGAACGACTCGACCAGTACATGGACCCAGCAGAACTCACCCTGTCTGATGAGCTTAAGGAGGATATAATTTATTCAGTGAATAGATTATGTGACCTGTGGCTGAATCATCCAGAGGAGTTTCAGCGTGCTGTAGCCAACCAGCTACAATGACTAGTTTCCGGTCTCCCCTGGCTTTTGGACTCGAATCACCCACTCATACAGGAATTTTTCCTTAATGAGCTTCATCTGCATCCCCCTGCCGCTACAGCTTACCCACCCAGCTCGGAGAAGGATGTGCTGCCCGGCCTGCCGGACTTGGAGTTGCCCGGCTCACTGGAGCCACCACCGAAGTTGAAGCGACGGCGACGGTTTTTGTGAAATACCAGACTCATCAAGAGGATTTAACCCTGTAAGACCCAACCCATCAAAAAAAAATGGCCAGAAAATTCCGATTTTTTATTTTTTATTTTTTTTTGAAACTGAGATGGTTATTATGTATATATTGTGTTATTCTTACTTAGTGTATTGTCTTTCTTTGTTACTGTTTGTTTATACTGGAGCACTTTAACCAAAAATAATCTCCCCTAGAGATCAATAAAGTATTCTGATTCTGATTAACCATTCTAGCAAAATCCACAAAAATGTTTTTGCTATATGTATGTATGATTTGTTTTTGTTTATCTTTTATTTTTGTTTATCTTTTATTTTTGTATTGCACTTGATACATTGGGCATTTTTGGCACGTTTTGTTAACAATAATGTTAATTCTAGACAAAAAAGGAGTTTTTGAAATTATGGCAAGTATTTATCATGTTGATGAGATAGCGGTCTCAGAAACTCATGCATCAAAAATAGGATACAAAGGGCATTGTAGGGTTAAGGAAATAGAAGCGATGTAGCAGTATAAGCCAAGAGAAGGCAGTAGTACAACTGTATTGAATGCAAGCTGCCATTAAAAACGAAAGAAGAAGACGACACCGGAAACTACCCAATCTGCAGTAACCAGACCTTCATGTATTGCTAGGTTTTTCCTCTGGATTAAAATGGCGTGGATTGATGTCTGTAAAGGCTCTCGTTTTACACATATTTAATTTCCCAATAAAGATGTTTGATTTTAGTTATTACACATTTTAAATCCTATTTGTTACGGTGAAGCGTTTTAATTTGAAGGAGGTCACCGGAACACCGCCTCATTGTAAGAAGTCTCCCGTAACGATCACCGGTTTCATCCTTAATCCTTCGTTCTCTCAGCTCTTCTTCTACTTCCGTCATGGCGCCCACTTTGGGCTTTTTTCCTGTTGTCACGTTGGTGGTGCTGTCTGGTTTTCCCGCCGCTGTGTCCTCGCGAAGGGACGTGCTCGAGCTCAGGGACGCGGACTTCGATTACCTGGCAACAGAGCACGAGACCATGCTGGTGAAATTCTACGCTCCTTGGTAAAGAATCGGCGTTAGTTTAGCGCGGCCGGCGGCGGGAGATTTTTCCTGAGTGTTTTTGGGTTTTTTTTAATGAAATCATTCCATCTTTATTGGTTTTCTGCTGTTTTTAAATCGTGTCTCTGCTGTTATGGAGGCACTAACAACCTGCTTGTCCTCTTCCATCTCCTGTTCCATTCCTCCACCTCTTTCCTACGTCATTTCCCTTGATTTAATTATTTTGTATTTATTATACTGTGGCTCTTATTTCCTTCATTCCTTGCCTTCCCTCCCCTTCCGTCTTTTCCGCATTACTTCCTTGCGTTCCAACTTCCTTCCTTCCTTCCCTGTTTCTTTACACCCTTCCTTTGTTTATTTCTCCTTCCTTTCCTTCATCCCTTTATTTTTCCCTTCCTTCAGGTGTGGTCATTGTAAGAAATTGGCCCCAGAGTTTGAGAAAGCTGCTAGTCGACTGAAAGGAAGTGTTCAATTAGCAAAGGTAATGTGTCCATCGTGTTCATTACTGTTGTGAACACCTGTTTCACAACAGTCTTATCTGTTTGTCTCACCTGTGCGGCAGGTGGACTGTACGACAAACTCTGAGACGTGCAGTCGTTTTGGGGTCTCAGGTTATCCCACCTTGAGAATTTTTAGGTACGGCAAAGATTCCGCCCCCTATGATGGTCCTCGCACTGCAGGTAGGAAACACTATGAGCATCCCAATCCTGCTCTGTTACTTGACTCTGTGATGTAACCTCTGTCTGTGTGTGTGTTTGTGTTCAGAGGGGATCTACGAGACTATGAGGAGGCAGACTGGTCCAGACTCGATGCACCTGAAGACCAAAGACGATCTGAAGGCCTTTGTCAATAACCATGACGCCAGCATTGTAGGTACGAGGTCACGTGTTGCCAGTGGCGGTCCTAGCCT